GTTCGCCAAAATAAGTTAGCGGTAAGTGGGCAAATTCTATAGGTAGTGGAATTAAAATCCAGTATAAACCTACATATAAGTAAAATAAGCATTTTTATTACTTAAATAAGCATATATTTCTTTAATTAAGAAATAAAAAAATGTTTTTTTATGTGAGAAGATTCACAAAAATGATATGCACCCAAGGTGCACCAAAGAATCACTCAAGCCACAATTTGACTTTTTTCATCAAACTGTAGCACTATTTGATCACAAATTATGGAAACCATATATTTAGTTATAATTAATGTAAATTTAGTAAAATTTTGGTTTATTGTAAAATATAGTTTTGAAATATCAAATTTTTATAATATTTAATTATTTTAAACTATATTTAATCCGTGATCAAAGAGTATTACAGTTTGATAAAAAAACCAAACATTGGTAATCTTTTTGGAACGGAAGGAAATACTCCTTTAACACGTAATACTACGTACTCCCTCCGTTTTTTAAAACAGTTCTTGTTTTGACTTTGGGCAAAATAAGGAAAGTAATTGTCCTTGATGTGATGGATAAAAGTAAGATGTGATAGTTTAGTTATTAGTGAAAAAGTATGATGTGATAGATAGGGTGTGAAAAAGTAAGGGTAAAAGTGGTTTTTAATAGAAAAAAGAAGTGTTTTAAGGAAAACAAAATAAAATGAAAGAGAAAGGGTTTTAAAAAACGAAGGGAGTACATCTTTAAAAATATACTCTCTCCTACTTAAAATGAATTGCACTTTACACAAAATAAAATAAAATTTTAAATTTTTAAATTCATTTTATTTAATTAAAGATTGATACAGAAGTAAAAAATAAAAATTTCATATTTAAAAGGTTTAATCCTCACCAATTTTTTAATCCTCAGAGGTTCCATAAATAAATAAATAAATAGGTCATCTATCACCAAAACAATGGAGTATATTATTGCTAACCTACATCACATATTTATATACTCCGTAACACTTTGTGTGAACCTTATCACTACCATTTGATTTAAAATACTCCCTTCGTCCCTAAATAGATTACAATTTTTTTCTCTCTCCTCTCGATAACTTTTGTTTGTTTACGCGATTTCATTAAATATTTGATAAAATAAAATATTCTTGTCACCTCTTGATCTGATATGTAATTTTTATATCTTATTGATATACCAATTTGTAAATAAAATGGTTTTAAAAAGTAAGAAATTTTACTCCGTAACCCGCAATTTATAATCAAATTGGAAAAAAAGGAAGTATATCCTAAATAATCATATCTTAAATGTCTATTAAATGACATTTAAATAAAAGTTGTAGGCCTATTTATATAGGCACACATGCGTTAAAATTGAACTGATAGGTTCTCCCTCGGCTGTTGTTATACATTGTATTGGAATGTTAAATATAATGTCCAGTCACATTCACTGACCTAATTCTCCATCGAGGCCGTTAGTGGGAGTTTTAGCCTATCCCTATCACAAATTTTCATTTCAAATACTTATTCCCTTTATCTTTCTTTTTTTATTTTAGTTGCAATTTGCATAATTTGCTATATATATCCTATACTTATGTGGACTATGCTATCTAAGAGCATCTACAATAGGAGTATTTTTGCCCCGCCTTAATTCCCGCCACATCAATATTATTATTCTACTCAATTCGTCCCGGAAAATCATTCTTTTTTCTTTTTCATTCGTCACAAAAAATTCTTCATTTTTCTATTAAAAAGTCACTTTTACCCATATTAATTCTTAACATATCTATCATATCACAATTTTTTTTATTAATATTCTTATATCCTACTTTATCCATCACATCAAAAGATATTTTTAGAATTCAACACCAAAAAACACTCTCCTAAAATACTTTAAAAATCAAAATGTGAAGTTTTTTGCGAGACGGATGGAGTACTACTTTTTTCGTTCCGCTCCAAAATTCTACAATATAATCGCCCTCAAAAGTCAAAAACTCGTTTCTTCGTTTCTTTAACATTATTCATTATTTTTAATTCAAAACTTATATAAATTTAATATAAATATTTATTTATTAATAAAAATAGACAAATAATAACAAATAAAATAAAAGTAATAAATTCAAAATCAACAAAAATAAATAAAAAGATTAAAATTAATGAAATATTAATTATTTAAATACAGAAAATAAAATTGGAATAAAAAATTCAAAATCGAATACATTAAAAAAAGGTAAAAAAAAATGAAGTTGAAAAATAAAATGATTCGGCGCCATGGAAGAAGAAGCCAAGGACCACAACAACAAAAAACGGACCGTGAGGGGGGATGCGGGCGGCCGCGGAAAGTCACAATGGACGGCCGCCCGTCCAAAAGTGCCGCGAATTGGGACTGGCGCAGAGCCGGACTCGCGGCGCAACGTGATGGAGGGGAATGCACCTTCCCCCCTCACCCCTATGCGGGAATGGAAAGGCGGGTTCTGCATCCCGAATTTCCCGTCCATTGTTTTACGTTGAGTAGTTTACCTAAATAGGATTAAAACATAATGACCTTTTTAATATAGTACCATATGTTTTTATTTCCCAATGTAGGACCATTAGTCATTATTTATTAGTCATTATTCAACTAAATGTCCAGCATCACTTGGACATTATTCTTCCCACTAGTCATTGTTAAATCCTATTTAGGAAAAAAATTTAAGTCCTATATTGAAAAATGACTTATGTTTTAATCTTATTTAGTGCAAATTTTATGCGCACAACATGTGGTTGGGGATCAAATTAGGAGGAATGTAATAATCCCACCATGCATAATGTACTGTTTATATCATTTACAATCATCAACACTAAAATTATACTCAAAAATACGCATTTAAAACAAAAAAAAACTCAGAATACAATAAATACGGAGTATTAAATTAAATAATAATGTATCACTAGTTCATTATACTAAATTCAAATTTAAAAGATTATTCTTCGACATCTACCGAGTATTTCTTTTTTCACTACTTATTATACGTTTCAAATATTACAAATTTATTAATTAATTTTGCAATTTGACCCTTCAACTAATTTCAAATAAAAACTCAGTTGGGAAATGTGATGCCTTTTTAGAAAAGATATCACATTATACAAATAATTTATTTATCATATTTTATTTTTAGTCATCCCGTCAATGTTATTTTTGGAAACCAACACAAAAATATCCCTTCTATATTTTTCCATAAAGTCAAAATGAAAAGAACTTTAATAGACGGAAGAAGTCTAAACCTTTTTTATTATATGTCAAAAAATGGAAAAAAGTTAAATGCAAAAAATCAAAGTAAAAAATAGTAAAAAACGAAAATGGGAAGTAGCATTAAATTTTAAATTTTAAATTATAGACTATGATTGATAGGCCAGTAATAATGTGTAAAAAAAAATTAAAACCACACCTAGAGGTGGCAATCGGATCAACCGGATCGGTTTCGGGTTGGATTTTTTCGGTTCGGATATCTTTCGGTTATATGTTATAATCGGTTCGGTTCGGTTAAGATTGGTTAAATTTCGGTTCGGATTTGATTTCCGTTTTATACATTTTTCGGTTCGGTTCGGTTCGGATTCGAGTCGGTTCAGACATGGTTCGGTTATAAATCGGTTCGGATAAATTTCGGTTCGGATACAATTTGAGTCGGATATATTTCAATTTCGGGTCTAATTAAATTTCGGGTCAAATATATTTTGGACATATATTATTTTCTAATTAAATTTTAACTATTTGTGTCTTTCTTTTTATGTTTTATCACATTTATCAATCTATCATCAATTCAATACCTCATATTATTTTACTTTTTTTCTAGTTATATTATCTCTACCCTAAATAATCTTCCCTTTTTGAATTTTTAGTCATATTTTACAAATTTAGACTATAAATTATGAAAACATATATATTCAATTATGATATAAATTTAATATAATTAAATTGATTTTAAAATTTAGTTTTGAAATATCAAATTTTTCTCACATCTACTACTCCGTAATATACTTATGTACATAAATGAAAAGATAAAAGATAAATTCAAATAGTCTTATGTTCATTTGAATACAATGTGGTAAAAATTGAGTAAAATTGGGTGAAATTAAGTGAATTTTATTCAATTGAGTGCAAAATTTGTAAATTATTTAGTATATTTGGTTGAAAATAGAGAAAATTAAATTTAATAGAGTCAAATATAATTAATTTTACAACTAAATGTAATTGTGTAGATCAAATTTGAAAATGATAACAGCAAAGGCTGCCGTTAGAGAGTCTTTTCAAAATGCTAACACTAGCATCTAATTTTATTGACTAATATTGAGTTAATTGGTTTGAAACTAATCAAATTAACTCTCAAATCAATAAAATTTATTGTAATGAGATGAAATTAGGATAAAATCTAGTTATTCCATACAATTCATCATATATTCCTTTCGTTCAAAAAAGAATATCACACTTCATTATTTAAAAATTATGAAAATTTTATTTGTTTGTGCGTTATCATTTATATGTATAACTTATCTTTAATTTTTCTATATATAATAAATTTAAGGCATAAAATTTTGTACTTTTTTTCAAGAAGATAATCCATTTTATGAGGGAATGAACAATTAATGTAATTAGTTCAAATGGTAAAAATAAAAGTAAAAATTTAAAAATATAATATGCTTATTGAAAGGCAAACATAGTATTGAATTTATCGATATTAGTTCTAATCGGGTTTGGATATTATCGGTTTCAGATCTATTCGGTTTCGGATTTTATCGGTTCCAGGTATTATCGGGTTCGGATCTAATCGGTTTCGGATCTAATCGGTTTTGGATTTAAATCGGATATGAATTATTTAGTTCAGTTTCGGTTCGATTCGGATCATTTTGAATTTTTGGTTATAGATCGGATCTTTATTTTCTGGGTCATTCCGATTTCGGTTTCGAATATTTCTGTTCGGGTAATCGGGTGCAGACCACACCAATAATTCTTTCTCCTATATAAAGACACCTCAATCTTATTCAGTTTCAATCTCACCACTCCTCACTTCGACATATCCATTCCCCAACTGAAAACCAAAACATCATTTTCTTGTTGTTTTCCACCACAAAATTGTCTTTATTTTTTTTTGTACTGTTTTATCTTAGCAAGAACTCAGAAAATTAAAAAAATGCCTTGCGTGACGTCATCCACCACTCTGCTCTCGAAATGCACCGTTTTCCCGGCGGAGAAATCCGCCCTGCCGGACCTCAAACTCTCCGTTTCCGACCTTCCCATGCTCTCCACGCACTACATCCAGAAGGGCGTCCTCTTCACGCGCCCGCCTTTTCCGCTCCCCCAGCTCATCTCCATGCTCAAGCGGAGCCTCTCCCAGACGCTGGCCCACTTTCCGCCTCTTGCCGGCCGGCTCGTTACCGACCCGGACGGCTACGTTTACGTCACGTGCAACGACGCCGGCGCCGATTTCGTCCACGCCGCCGCGCCCTCCGTTTCGGTCGGATACGTTCTTGTTGCCGGTGTGGATGTTCCCGGCGAGGTGAAGAAGTTCTTCCCGTTTGACCTGACCGTTAGTTATCAGGGGCATTTCCGTCCGATTCTCGGCGTCCAGGTGACGGAGCTGGCTGACGGCGTGTTCATTGGCTGCGCCGTCAATCACGCCGTCGTTGACGGGACGTCTTTCTGGAATTTCTTCAATACTTTTGCGGAGGTGACGAGGGGGATTAAGATGGTTACCCGGTCGCCGGATTTCAGCCGGGATTCCGTTTTGATCTCGCCGGCGGTGTTAAGAGTCCCCGCCGGCGGTCCTAAGGTTACTTTCGCCGTCGATGCTCCGTTGAGGGAGAGGATTTTCAGCTTCAGCAGAGAATCAATTAGAATGCTCAAGGAGAAGACTAACGGCTGTAAACGGGACGTTGACGGCGGAGGCATAGACGTTGTGGAGTTAATGGGGAAGGGGAGTCACGATCCCTTGAAAACATCCAACGGGAAGATCGCGCCGTTAGACTGGCTGGTCAACGCGGTTACGTTGACCGAGAAAGCGTCGGATTCTCAACAGGCGGCTGAGATTTCATCATTTCAGTCGCTCTGCGCTTTGCTGTGGCGCGCGGTGACACGTGCGAGGAACCTGCCGGACACCAAAACGACGACGTTCCGGATGGCGGTGAACTGCCGCCAGCGGCTGGAGCCGAAGATGGACCCTCTGTACTTCGGCAACGCGATACAGAGCATCCCGACGTACGCCGCCGCCGGCGACGTCCTGTCTCGGGATCTCCGGTGGTGCGCCGAGCAACTGAACAAGAACGTGAGGGCCCACGGAGACGCCACCATCCGGAAGTGCGTCGAGGAGTGGGAGAGGGACCCGCGCACTTTCCCGCTGGGAAACTTCGACGGCGCCATGCTGACGATGGGGAGCTCGCCGAGATTCCCGATGTACGACAACGATTTCGGGTGGGGCAAGCCGGTGGCCGTCCGGAGTGGCCGGGCGAACAAGTTCGACGGGAAGATTTCGGCTTTTCCGGGCCCGGAAGGGAACGGGACGGTGGATTTGGAAGTGGTGCTGTCGCCGGAAACCATGGCGGGCCTGGAGTCTGACCCGGAATTCATGCAATTTGTATCGGGTTATTAAAACGGGTCCGGGGATAAGGCGTACGGAGCAGTTTATTTGTTGTTGTCCCCTCCTAAATTTCCTGTAATTGCACAATAATTAGTTAACTCATCGTCGTCAAACTATCTGTAACAGTAAAACGTCAAGTTTGTTGTTCAGTTGTTCCCTAGCCATTTTTTCTAGTTTCGTCTTTTCTTACTTACTCATTGATTGGAGTACCTAATTTCTCCCTCATTTTCTAATTTTAAAAAAAACTAAAGTCATTAGCAACTACTAAACCAATCCCAAAAAATTGAGAAAACCGAACTAAAAATATCGAACCAAAAAAAATATTGGAAAAAAATTGAATCATACCGAATTGAATGATCGATTCTGTATTGTGAAATACTCCATCCGTCTCGCAGTATTTGTTCAGTTACAAATACATTTTAAAAATAGATTAGGTACATATGTATTTGTACTAATTTGTACCGAAACCGATGCTGTGATCGTGTGATAAATAATGGATAATGTATTCTTCATACATGCAATAAGTAAAAAAATATTAGACTAAAAAATTGTACACATTCAAGGTAAGAAAATAAAGCTCGAGTAAATCCGATTTAAAACTCTCCGACAACACTATTGCCAAGTCCCACCGCGCCCTACAAGTTCAAAAAGAAAGCTAGCTCAGCTCATGTATGAATGTCCTGCCAACCCAATGGAAAACATAGAAACTAGACTCACCCCTGCTTTTTCTTTGTTGTAATGCTCACACGTCAAACCTAAATTAACATGTGAAATACCTTTTTGCAGGCGTTTACGTGCATAAGAACCGAGCATGTAAACTACTCCTGCACTCTTTTGGTTGCAGAGGGAAACTACCTTTTATTAACTCTATTGTAAAGTTTTTATTACAAATTTTAGATGTCTAAGTATCAAATACCTACCTTTTTTATTAACAGACATGAGTAAGGCCTATGATCGAGTTGAATGGAAATTTCTTAAGGCGATGTTATTGAAGTTGGGGTATGCGGTATTTTGGGTGCAGAAGATCATAACAATGGTAACCACGGTGACATATATTATCACACATGGGGGGGGGGGGGCAACAGGTGAGTCCAACGAGGGGGTTACGGTAGCAAGACCCTCTCTCCTCATCCCTTTTTAAATTGTGACAGAGGGGCTGTCAACGTTGTTATGACCAATGGAGTTGCAAGGATGCTTGCATGGCGTGAAAATTATCCCAAAGGTCCTAGTCATTTCTCATATTTTATTTTGCAGACGATGCTTTATATTTTTTTAGGACAATTGAAGGGGATGTAGTTGTGATCACTGAATGTTTGGAGACATACCAACGAGCCTCAAGACGACATGTGAACTTCACAAAGTCAGAGCAGACATTTAGTCAGGATACATCGGAGTTGGAGAGACGGAAGGTATTCGAGACGCTCCATATTCAGGAATCAGCAAGATGTGGCAATTACCCTGGCCTCCCAGATTTGGTGGGCAAGAATATGAGAGGGAGATTTTCAAGTTCGTACAAGACAGAGTTCGGTCAAACATTAAAAACTCGAAACATGAGACCCTTTCTCGAGCGGGTAAAGTGATTCTTATCAAGACAATTATGCAAGCAGTACCGAGTTATGTTATGGCGCTTTTCAAGTTACCCTCAACTCTTTGTGAATATACTTATAGGGTTATTAACACATTTTGGTGGGGCGCGAGTACCGAAGGGCGTTATGGTATAAATTGGATAACGTGGAAGGCTCTTAATAAGAGTAAGGACGAGGGGAGCCTATGGTTCTAACAACTCCATTAATTTAATGTATCTCTCCTTGCAAAAACAGGGTGGAATTTTCTTACGATGCCTCATTCTTTGGTGGGACGAGTCTACAAGGCAAGGTATTTTCTAGAATCAAATTTTTTAGATGCCACTATTGGAAGTAATCCAAGGTTTACATGGACATCAATTTTATTGCGGGAAGGAGGTTGCTGAAGTCAGGTTGCATCAGGCACATTAGAGAACGCAAAGAAACTAAAATTAAAGGTAGCCCATGCTATTACGAGAGGGTAGCCCATATGTTAATGGTGCTATTTGGTCAAAGATCTACAATTTGAGTGTGGAGATGCACATTAATCATAGAGAACATACATGGGATATAGAGGTTGTAGAGGTTATATTCATGCATGAGGTGGTGGATGAAATATGTAAATCTCATTGAGCCGGGTCGCCCGTCCTCATGGTTTGATGGTGAACGGAGACTCGTCGGGAAGATATGCAATTAAGCAAGGGTATAAAGCATTGAGGCAGGGTAGGCAGAGCAAGGGGCAGTACCTCTAGAGCTATAGAAATACATGTGGAATAGGAGGGTGCCACCTAAGGTACGTAATTTCCTATAGGGAGCCTTTAATAATGTATTGCGAGAGAGAAGAAACCTAGTTAAGAAACATGTCAATGTGTCGGAGGTGTGTCCGGGATGCATGGTGGAGGATGAGTCATTTTCCATTGCTTGGTGTGATGTGGCTTTGCTAAGCCCTGCCTTCAACCGATTGAATGGGAACTCCTATGATGGGGGACCCTTTTGCTACGTGGTTGGATCAAACAAAGCAACTGAGGAATTTCCAGCAAATGGGCAAATTGCGGATATTACTTTGGGAGTTACAGACACAAAGATATTAACTTGTATGGCATAATAAGAGCATGACGGCGGAGGGATATGGCGACACACTGATATAATGATCGGTTTGAGGCAAATAAACCAAAGCTAGATGAGGATGGTGAGATAGCCAACCGACGTGAGGAGCCCTGCTACCAAATAATTTAAAGTGCAATGGTGGTGCAAGATTTAATTCGCCCACCAATATTGACCGGGTGGGGATGCTGGTGCGTGATGCGCAAGGAAGATTTGTATGCGGTTCATACCAAGGTTTAGGTCAGTTGGAGTGCGCTTTGCTAGCGGAGGCTATGAGAATTCAAGAAGCTCCAAAGTTGCTCCAGACACATTATGCACTCCAACAACTTAGGGTAGAGATGGACAATAAAACCGTGTGGCTCTGCAGGACAGAGACCAAGAAGGTTGTTATTTTTGGGACTTATTCATGATTTTATCGTCAAAGTACGAGTTTTGTTCTATCAAGTGGTCTTTCGTTAAAAGATCAACAAATCAAGCCACCCATCTATTGGCTATGGTAACTAATTCTATGTGTGAGAAATCAGGCCGCCCATCTGTTGCCCTCGAGATTATATTTGTGATGTTGTTAGCAATGATGCATAAATAATACAAAGCTCTTTAAAAAAACATCAAACACTTAGGGACTGTTTGACAACTTCTGAATAGGTAAGTGCTGAACCAGTAAGAGGTCTGAACCATTAAGTGTTGAACCAGTAAGAGGTCTGAACCATTAAGAGCTAGTATATTGCTTAACTATTCAGAGGCAAATGTCTGATCAATTCAGATAAGATGTCTTAACCATTCAGACTGTGTATAATACTTAACCATTCAGAGGCAAATCTCTTAACAATTCAGACATCTGAACCATTAAAAGACTGAAACAAACAGTCTGAATCATTAAGTGCTGAACCATTCAGACATCTGAACCATTAAGAGGCTGAAACAAACAGCCCCTTAGGCTACTACTCTTTTTGTACTATTTTGGTTGTAAAAAATTATTACCTCATACGCATGTAGTGTGTCCCCAACCTGTGTGGGTGCATTGAATTTAATGAGAATGCTGCAGAGTAAAAGAAATAAGTTCATACGATTTATTAAATTTAAGAAAGAGGTTATTGAATTTTTAAACTAAAACAATTTGGGGAAAGAGAAAAATTATCGTGGCATTTTTTATAAATAAATTGAACTTTGAAAAATCAATTATTGCACATAAATATGCATCATTATAGAACAAAAATACACTTTTCGCATTTCTCTTAGTAAGGATTTCAGAAAGGATTAGTCTAACTAATTTACATACCTTGCACCTATCGAGTATATATCCCACTTTCTTTGTAGAATAAACTTACACTAAATGTGGTAGCTTCTTTGTACACTAGGCAAACACGGACAAACACAAATATTTAGTGTATATGGATCATAGACACTAAGTGTTTGTATTTTTCTGTGTTTGCTTGATGTATAAATAATGTACCCCATTTTAGTGTACCTCTAGCATGCTTCTTCTTTGTAAGTGAAAGATTAAAATCTGATTTAAATTTTTATAATACGGTATATTGTTTGAACTTTGAAGTAGTGCCGCGTCCCTAGATCTGGGCTATTCATTCGTCTATGGGCTCTAAATATGAGGGCCCAATGTGGTGAGTGTATTTTAATTAGGCTATGCTCTCTTTTCAAAGCCCAAATAGTATTTGATTTTGATTAAAAAAAAAGAATGAGAAGCTGTGGTTTTCTTCATCTTCCGGCAAATAGCGAGACTTTGTGAGCTGCGCCTGCGATTAAGCAATAGCTAACCGGACTCCGGTAAGGCAACGGCGATTGAGAGATAGCGGGCGTCCGAGAAAGTGACGGCTGTGGGTTGTGGCCATTGACGATTGAAGTAGCGAACTAGGGAACACTTTTCACCAAGATCTTCAGAATTCCATTTTTCCAGGTACACTTTTTAAATCTCAATTTTCATCTTTCTTCATCCAATTATCGTCATGATTCAACATTTCAATTTATACTTCCCAGATTTGATGTTTGGGTTTTTAGAATGAATGGATGTAGAAATTCATATAAACAAATTAGGGTTATTGGCTTATTGTAGTGTCTTGGTATTTAAATTTCAAGATAGGGTTAAAATCTTATTTCTTAAAAGTTAAAATAATTTGAGGATTGTATTATTGCACCACCAAGTTAAAATCTTAAACATTTTCAACTTTGAAGTGTCCATTTTTTCAAGGTATGGTTAAAATCTTAAATTTTAGAGTAATCACTGAAAATATTAGAGTATTGGTTTATGTCAGCAACAGTTTAAAAATAATGATGTTATAAATATTAAATATGCACAATGTGTTAAGAAAATATTTATCTGGATATGAGAAACAGTGATTGAAAAGATGACTGATAAATTGACACAATCACAAAAGGTGCTCTTGATAAATTATTTATAAAAGAAGGTAACAGTGATAAAGGAGATGCCGAGATGGTGAAAATTTGATTATCCATAGTTGTGATAATCTTAATGTAGAAGATGAGTGCGATGATGTTAAAGAAAATGCGGCTCACATGTTTGATGATTAGCCGAAAGAATTTGATTTGCTTGACACAAATGATTCAAGAAATTGGCATTATTTTTCAATTGAACCCAAAACACTTAGAGGTTTAAATTTTGGTTGATGATTTTGCATCTTAGTGTGCAAGCAAATATCTATGTTGAATTTCAGTGATTCACATTGTGTGTTGATAAGAGGGATGCTGGAGAACCATTACTTCTTTTGTGTGTCGAGCTGAGAAATCCTTCTGTGTTTGAGCTGGGAGATCCTTCTAGTCGGAGTTCTAGACCTGTCTAGAAGGGATCGGATCTGCTTCGGGGGTTGAACTCATCGGCCGTCAGATGAAAGAGGGCCTTGTATGTTTGGAAAATCGGCTGGGAGAACGATGAAATGGGCGACATTGCTTAAAGACTTTAAGGAAAAGGTTGGCCTCTCTCAGCCTCCTTCCACTGTCTCCTCGCCTACTCATGCTGCCACTTCGTCTCTTCCGGATTGCTATCCCATTTCTGGCAGCCACCATCTTGATCTTGCCTCTTCTCCTTCGAGGTACAGTACTTCAATGTTTCCCCAATTGACTTGTGCTATGTTTTACAGCATTAACTCGTATTGATTTTCCTAGTGCTTGAGTGAAAAAAATATAACACCTATTTATATAACTTCACCAAAATGTATTCTTCCTCACTTCTTCTATGTTTTTAAATATAGCCATGGTTAGATCGAACAGCTTATCTAAATTTGCTAGTTCTGACTACATATGTAGGATAAGTTTTATTTCCGTGACGCTTCACTTTTACTGAACTTTTTCCATGCCTACATTTCAAGTTCAAAAATTCTGCACACCGAGTTCAATATGGAAAAAAGGTGCATATGAGCAAAACAAAAATCTAAGATCAATATATGCAGATTTCCTTTTGAATGGGATTTACACAGAAATAAGATACTGTTCATTGTCAAAATTAAAAAGTGGTAACATTTGTGTGAGGACTTGCAAAGAGAAATCAGCGACGAAGAGAAATTTTCCTGATTTTCATGTAAGCATATTCATTAAAATACCATGCTTACCTAACTGACTAATCAAAGATGTAACCTTTTCATTATTAAAATATTTCGGTTGCTTGGAAATTGTAGCAGCTAACAAGTAAGATTTCTTCAAAGTTATAGATAGCTCTGCAGAATGGTAGAAGAAGTCAATTTAGTGGACCAACATTTTCCAACTTCATCATGAAGTTGCATATCACGTGTCTGCATTTCAGCACTTTTGTTGAGTTGTTTTTTTAAAAAGTGCATTCCTTTCTTTGTGATGAAATTTACTCGCAGCATTACACGGGAGACTTATGAATTAATCTTTCTTTATAATTTGTATTTCTTCCTTCCTCCACTGCAACTGATCTATCTTGTACTTGGGTGTATTGTATTCGTACTTTTGTTGGATCTCTTATTCTCTTAATAGCAGAGACAAACATGAATTGGAATTGGACTTCAAAAGATATTGGGAAGAGTTCCGCTCATCAAGTTTGGAAAAGGTCTATCTAAGTTTGTGTAAAGAAAAAGTTCAACTTTCTCAATTTTATATTGGAAGAAGTTACCATGTATCTGTCTTTACATCCTTTTGTAGGAGAAAGAAAAGGCCCTGAATATGACCATTGATGTTTTTTGTAGACTAGTAAGGCAACACGCAAATGTAGCTCAATTAGTTACCATGTAAGAGAGTACTCTCTCTCTCTCTCTCTCTCTCTCTCTCTCTCTCTTCTATCTCTCTGCATTTTTTTGTCTTCTTAATGTTTTATATTGTGTTGTGTCAAGGAAGCCAATAGTCACGTCTGCCAACTTTGATTTTTTACTTCTTTTCTGTTTTAATCTCACGATGAAGATAAGTTGACCAACTTTGAACACTTGTTTTATAGGTTAGTTGAGACACACATATTCTCTTTTGTTGTTGGAAGAGCATTTGTAACGGATATTGAGAAGTTGAAACTTAGCAGCAAAACAAGATCTTTTGAAGTAGAGAGAGTCTTGGGTTTTTTCTCTGAAATCACTAAGGTTCTTTGATGTGTGTGTGCGTGTGTGTTGAAAGTTCTTGGTTCCTCTTTTTATCTCTCATTTATCGTGTATTTTTTCATGAACATGGCTTTTGTGATAATAGTCATTAAACTACAGGATGGGATCAGCCCTGGTGCAAATTTATTATATGCAGTGGAAGTCCTTGTTTCTGGGGTATATACTCCTGTCTCTTGCCCTTTCCTTATATCCATTTGTTAAAAATGCACTTTTGACTAGAGAGGATCTTAATTTTACTTTGAGAAGGGTTGCTTTGGTTCACCTAGCAAGCACACAATTAGTGTCATGATGGTGATGATGATGTTGACAGTATTAGAATTTCATCTCATTATTACTTTGCAAGAAGGTTACAACACGAAGGATATCCGGCATAATTTTTTGCCACTGAGTTCTTGCATAAACTTATAACACTGACTATAATCATTTGAAAACTAGTTGACACTAGAAATTTCATTCCACCCACCCCAACATATTGGGTTTGAGGAGATGATGATGGTGGTTGCAACTTGCAAGCACACAATGGGACCACATCTAGGTTTTGTTATGAATTGATTATTGTAGCATGTGCATATCTCAAATATTAATGGATGGTCAATGTTGTACAGCCTATTGATAAACAATCTCTTCTTGATTCTGGGATCTTGTGCTGCCTCATTCATACTCTCAATTCTCTTCTTGGCCCTGACGGAAGTTGCCAAAAACTATCTACATGCCATGGTACAGAGCAAGTTCTAACAGAGAACTGCCCTGGTGGTGATGCTGCATCACGTCGTCGGCTTGAGGTAGCTTCCGTCTTGCTTACTCCTATTTACTGCATCTATATTTTAGATTAAATTGTACTCCGTATCACGTTTATAGTTCATAATATAATTTGAAGTTCTTAAGTTGTGGTATGTGTGCATTTTATTATTTGTTTATGTATTACATGATGTTTTTGGTGTTAGAAACAAACTGTAGAACTGGGTTTTCTGGGGTTAATAATGTAATATGGGTTCATGACTTTGATCCAGCATAATATATTCAATACACCTGATCAATGGTATTAGAAAGCGGAGTGAAGAACAATTTTTTGACACGTAATATGCAGTTGGAATTATAATGAGTTAGGGAACTGTATTTTTTCTTTGTTGTCACCATCTTTTTGACTTACGAGTTACGAGTCGCTGACTAGTCAGTCTAGTCATTGGCAGGGTGTTGACCATTTCTCCTACTAGCGATCGTCTTCGTTCTGTAGTCCGATTGTCGAATTTGCGTCAATCTGGACGTCGCTACTTGTCCCAAGAAATGTGAACCAACCTAACCCAAATTTTGCACAACTTTTTAACAAGAAAACCCTACCTTCTCCTTCAGAATTAAATTTCTGCAAGCCTACATTCAACGCGATGCCTGCCACCAACTGATCACATCATTGACATCATCCGAGATTGGTCGTCTTTGTAGACCAGTCATTGGTCTCATCTGGTGTGTTTTTCATTTTTTTACTTTGTTTATGATTTGTTTTATATTTACTTCTTGTTATGGAGTATTTGTTTCATTTTTAATTTTTGTTTCCGTCTTGTTCCTGACTTTATTGTCATATATGTTTAAATTTTATTTAAGTTATATTTTAATGTTTTTTTCTCTTCTTTTTGGGTTCCCTAATTAGTTTTAACACTACCTATTTAGTCTTTCAAGTCTATGCTGTTTTTAGTCTTTCAAGTCTGATTTTTTGGGGTGGTATACAAATTACTTTTATGAAAAAATCTTTTATCTATACTGTATTCCTTAGTTTTTTTTATTATTCTTCATTGAAACTTAGATTTTTAAGGTAATGATATTTCATCTTTTAAAAATGCGGTTATCTTTAGTGATATATGTAATTGTTTTTGCAATAATGTATTGCTTATTATTACTTGTCGACTAATTTTTGATTAGTCGACTGTCTTATTGACTAGTCTCTTCTTCAATGACTCAACTCGACTTGTCGACGCGACAACCATGTTTTTTGTTCATTTGTGTCTTCTAGAAGACTGGAGCTTGATGTGAGTGTTGAGGTTGAGATTGGTATGGGGTTTTGGTTCAATGGTGGTGGTAGATAAGTTTGAACTCAGCTCAACATACAACTGGTCAGCTGCACAGCTGAAGATAGAAATGGTTTGGGGTACATAATGGATTTCTGATGATTTGAAGAGGACCCATATCAAAATAGGGCCATTGATCCTTTTTTCATTTTGGGGTTGGGGTTGGCGACAAATAATTTTGTCGGAACTCGGAACTTCAAAGATTAGAGTTCAGAAATTACATTAATTAAAGCAAATATTAATGTGTTTAGCATTTCCATAAAACATAAATGGTTTCTTGAACTTGGATTATAAAGTGTATGCTTGCTTTGCCTATGGTAGGTAGAGGGTAGTGTTGTACATATAATGAAGGCATTGTCTAGCCACCCTTCAGCTGCACAAAGTTTAATAGAGGACAACTCTCTTCAGTCACTCTTTCAAACAGTTGCTATGGGCTCTTTAGTTGCCTTTTCTCAATATAAAGAAGGCCTTGTGCGATTGCACACCATTCAGCTCCACAGACATGCAATGCAGGTATTTAGCGTACTCTTTAGCTGAATGAAACTTTTGATTTGGAAATATTTTTATATTTGATTCTTGATCCAGATACTTGGTCTTCTCTTGGCCAATGACAATGGAAGCACTGCCAAGTACATTCGCAAGCATCATCTGGTATGTCCTGCGTCCTGCCTGATGCATCCTAGTTTGTCTTTAGTCATTTAACTAATTTTCATCCTCTATTCCTTTTTCATAATCCTCTCTCCCATTAAGATTGAGCAAGGATGTTAAGTTCGCAATATAATGAACATAATTTGCATCGATTGCTGCACCCTAAACTGCAGATAATGCCATTGTGAAATAATTTTGTTTAGAATTTCAGTAGCTTATTAAGTCATGACAGTACTAGTTGTTCACTACACTTAAAATTTATGCCTTTATTGGCTTTTTGGAGTATCAGTGCCCGAATAAAAGCTGTCTTCAATTTTGTGTTCCTGTCACTTGTCAGACAACTACAAATTTCAGCTGTAAATTTTCTGGAGTTTATAACATAATAACGCCTTACTTGGTAGAAATGAGAACTAAGGAGAGGAAGACTTTGCATTTTAAAAATAATGCACGGCACTTAAACTAGCTCCTTGTGAACTGTTGTGACTAGTGATCCTAGCCTCACCTGGCTTCTCTATTTAACCAATTAATTAGATCCTTATCCTATTATCCTTGCTTTGTACTGTTTCCAAGCAATCAGCTTCATAGTCTAACTGAATATTTACTGTTTAGGCTGTAAGAGTTTGTTCCCATGGTAAAAGTCATAGTTTATGAGATGAATACTCTCTGCATAATTATTTAATAAAACAATATGTGCCAAAGCATCAACACCATGCTCCTCATTTTTGTAAATGACTTCTTCAAGTGAAAATTTTGTTGAAAATCTTCAGTAAACTTTTATGCAGAACTTATTGAGTCATAATCTCTTGACTTCAATGTCTGTGTTTGATGGCAATTCTCATGATGTAGTAGATTTTCATTTTTCAAGTACCCATTTTGTCATGCTGATGGTTAGGTCTTTATATGGAACAGATAAAAGTACTTTTAATGGCTGTGAAGGATTTTAATCCTGAATGTGGAGATTCGGCCTACACAATGGGTATAGTGGACTTGCTTCTGGAGTGTGTTGGATTGTCATATAGACCAGGTAAATGGTTCTGTATCATTCTTTCATTGTCATTATCATCATCATCATTATCGTTACCATCTCCATATTCTTCTTCTTCTCTCACTTCATAACTAAAATAGTTCTTTCTCCTCCATTCACATGGATCACAACTTAAATTCAGGGACTTGTTACTGGATATCACTGTATTAACTAAGTTATGCTAACAATAAGCAGAACTTGCAATATTACATAATTGTTCTTTGTAATGGTTGGTGCTGAATTCCAAACAATTCTGACTTCCAGATGCCGGTGGTATCAGGCTTAGGGAGGACATACACAATGCACATGGTTATCAATTCCTGGTTCAGTTTGCTTTAGTTCTTTCCAAGGATCAAAATTGGCAAACTTCGCATTTGGAATCTCTTCCATGCCAAGATCCTGCTTCAGGGGATGACCTTGGAGCTAATGCGGTTGAGAGCAATGCAATGATGAAAAAGGAAGTAGAAACTTCACCAAATAATCTATCCCCTGTACTCTCTAGACTACTCGATGCTCTTGTTTGTCTTGCTCAAACCGGTCCTTTAAAAACCTCAAGAAGTGCTTATGCTAAGCCCAGTGGGCACAACAGAAGTCGGACTTCGTCATCTGACCGAATAAGTGACGAGTGGGACAAGGACAATGACAAAGTAAAAGACCTTGAAGCTGTCCAAATGTTGCAGGACATTTTTCTGAAAGCTGACAGTAGAGCACTGCAAGCGGAAGTGCTTAACAGGATGTTTAGAATATTTTCGAGCCATATTGAAAATTACAAGTTGTGCCAGCAGTTGCGGACTGTGCCCCTACTTATCCTCAACATGGATGGATTTCCTCCAACTTTGCAAGAGATCATTTTGAAAATTCTTGAATATGCAGTGACTGTGGTGAATTGCATACCCGAACAGGAGTTGCTTGCACTTTGTTGTCTGCTGCAACAACCAATAACATCTGACTTGAAGCATACAATTTTATCTTTCTTTGTAAAACTTCTATCATTTGATCAACAGTACAAGAAAGTACTGAGAGAAGTTGGTGTCTTGGAGGTTCTACTAGACGATCTTAAGCAGCACAATTTACTATCTGGTCCACAACTGCACGAAGGTGAATTTAATCAGCTGGATAAAAAATCAAGCCCAAGCGGCTTCAAGAAACATCTTGACAGCAAGGATGCAATCCTTTCTTCACCCAAATTGTTGGAATCTGGTTCTGGAAAATTCCCTATTTTTGAAGTGGAAAGCACAATAGAAATTGCGTGGGATTGTATGGTCTCTTTACTAAAGAAAGCAGAAGCAAATCAGGCAACATTTCGATCATCTAATGGTGTGACGACTGTACTTCCTTTCTTGGTATTTGACATCCATCGCCCTGGTGTCCTCCGTGCATTGTCATGCTTAATTATTGAAGATGCTTCACAGGTTTGCTTCCTCTAAGCTGACATTTTGACTTCTAATTTGACTTGGTCTTGGCTCAAATGTATTGGCTTTACTGCTGTGGTATACTGGTATTAATTGCACTTGTCTTATACTCCATAGATAGTGAAGTCTTGAAAGTATTAGCATGCTTGCTCCTCCAGTGACTAATGAAGATTAGTAAGACACATTGAGGGTGAAAAAACAGCCAGTATACCATTTTTACCTTTTTTTCAAATATACAACATACCCAGTAAGCCTTTCTAGTGGGATCTAAGTGATGCATGTAAAACCTTACCCCTACTTAGAAAATGTAGAGAGGCCAGGGTCATGAAAAGGGTAGCACATTCCAACAAGTACCCATAAACACATGAGAGGGAGGGAGGGAACTACGGCCTACCACCTTGTTCTGGATATTGCCTTCTAAATATGTATCTTCTCGGTCCCACCTCAACATTCTCATCTCACATTTCCTGAACAAGTTTAATTTTCACCGATTAACACTTGGCTCCACACAACATAGATCTGCTTAAAAATTGTCCTTACAACATCCCCATCAACTCACCACCGCCTCAAGTGATAGATCCAAGATACCTAATATTTTCCCTTTTGGGATGAGTTACGAATTGATCTTCACCACCGCCCAACTAAGGAGGTATATCATTGAATTTTCAGCCCATGACTCCATGTATTCGGTCTTACTCTATGACTCCAGTTCATCATCAAGTCGTCATCTCCCTCATGTGTTTCGTCTAATAAATATCTTATGCAAATAATTGTGTTGTTCTCTGGGCTCATTTGTAGCAGAGGCTTCTGTGGTTAACAAATTGAGTTTTTTCAGTCTTCAGGCAACACTTAAATAATTATCTTTTCCACTTGTGATAGAGTATGAGAGCTGCTTCTGTTTAATAGCCAAAACACCATTACAACCTATTAGCCTACTAATGGATTCCAATACAGCTGAATCGGTGTCATTGTTTGTACCTTGTTCTTTTGAAAATTTTTAAAACTAATGAAGTTACACTTTTTTTTATAGACTTGGAGATTATTGAAGGGCCTGTGTGAAATTTATAATATATTAGTTTTCCCTGATAAACATGCTGCTTCTAATTTTAAATTCTTAAACTTAAGTCCAATTGTTCTTGGATTCATTTGGAAGGGTAGCTTTTTTTTATGCTTGTTGGTCTTGTCACAAGGGTTGACCATGTGCCCTTGCTTTATAGGAGCTGTCTGAAATTACTCTTTTTTTATAATTGGAGGTTTATGAAGGGCCTTTGTGGAATTTTTAATATTAGTTTTTCCTGATAAACATTTTGCTTCTTATTTTTAATTCTTAAATTGAAGTCCCATTGTTGTTAGATTAATTTGGAAGGGTAGCTTTTTTTTTAATGCTTGTTTGTCTAGTGTGGGCTATACAAAACATAATTTCTGTATGCACATGGTGCTTTTTTCTACGAATACCTTTAAGTGCCAAACATGCTATAGTTTGAATTTTTGTTTTGTGATTTAGTCACATCCAGAGGAGTTGGGAGCAATGGTTGACATTTTAAAAAGTGGAATTGTTACAAGTGCTCTAGGATCCCAGTACAGAATTCAAGATGATGCTAAATGTGACATATTTGGAGCTTTGTGGCGTATTCTTGGGGTTAATAGTTCAGCTCAAAGGATTTTCGGTGAAGCAACTGGTTTCTCTTTGCTATTGACCACCCTCCACAGTTTCCAAACTGGGGAAGAACAAGCAAACAAGTCTCCTTCAACCAGACATATCAAGGTGTTCACATACTTATTACGTGTAATGACAGCAGCAGTTAGTGACAACACTGTTAACAGGACAAAATTGCATGCTGTTTTATTATCCCATACTTTCTATGATCTTCTCTTGGAGTCTGGTTTAATATGCGTAGATTATGAAAGGCAAGTAATACAGCTGTTATTGGAACTTGCCCTTGAATTTGTGCTTCCACCATTTCTGATATCCGAAGATGGCACATTTCCATGCACCAATGAAAATGAATCGGCTTTGCTTATTGTTTCATCTTCTGGCTCTTTTGTTCCTGATCATGAGCGAGTGTATAATGCTGGGTCTGTTAGAGTGCTTTTACGCAACCTATTGATGCTTACTCCAAAGTTACAGTTAGATGTATTAAGCATCCTTGACAAACTTGCCCGTGCAAGCTCTTTCAACCAAGAAAATTTAACATCTGTAGGTGCGAATCCAATATTTTTATCTTTTTAGATTTTCTAATAAACCAACAAAATGAGTATAGTGCTTGATGATATGTTGTTTGCAGGTTGTGTGGAACTTCTTCTTGAGATGATTTATCCCTTCCTGTCTGGCTCATCACAAATACTATCACATGCTCTAAAAATCATAGAAGTTTTAGGGGCATATAGGTAATTATGTCTATCTAGCATAGAACTCACTGTTGATGTCAACATGTCTATTTTATGTTTCTAGTTAATTCCTGGTAAGATGAACATCGTGTTTCCTGGTTACAGGTTATCAACATCTGAACTTCGAGTTCTTGTTAGATATATTCTTCAAACAAGACTTGCTTCTTCTGGCCGCTTTCTCATTGATATGATGGAACAATTGATTCTCAGGGAGGACGTTGCTTCAGATGATGTTTCTCTGGCACCTTTTATAGAGATGGACATGACCAAGATAGGACATGCCTCCATTCAAGTTCCACTGGGCGAAAGATCTTGGCCACCTGCTGCTGGATATTCTTTTGTATGCTGGTTTCAGTTCCGAAATTTTTTAAAAACACAGACAAGAGAGACCGAAGCATTTAGAACTGGATGTTATAAGAAGCAGGCTATAGCCAGTGGCCAGCATCGCAAGCCACATGTTTTGCGGATATTTTCTGTGGGAGAAGTAGAGAATTCTAATGCTTTCTATGCAGAAATTTGTCTTCATGAAGATGGCATTCTTACACTTGCCACCAGCAGCTCTTCATCCTTGTCATTTTCCGGGTCAGAAATGGAGGAAGGCAGGTGGCATCACCTAGCTATTGTGCATAGCAAACCGAATGCTTTGGCTGGCCTCTTCCAGTCGAGCATTGCGTATGTATACCTTAACGGGAAACTAAGACACACTGGGAGACTGGGATACTCCCCATCTCCACCGGGAAAGTCTCTGCAGGTAATCATTGGAACACCTGTTACATGTGCAAGGGTTAGTGACTTGT